CCGCGGCGGCGCCCACTCACCCCCGCAGCAGCTTGAACAGCATGCAGCCCAGCGAGAACCAGTCGGCGCTGCTGTCGTAGGCCACGCCCTTCTGCAGGACCTCAGGCGCCATGTAGCCGTGGGTGCCCCTGTGGAGGCAGCAGGCCGTGAGCGCCTGGCGGGGCGCGGCCGGGCCGGCGGGGCCGGGGCACTCACACGCTGGCGTGGGGCTTCTTCTTGGAGAAGTCGCAGGCCAGGCCCAGGTCCGAGATGCGCACGTGGCCGTGCTCGTCCAGGAGGATATTGGCCGGCTGCGGAGAAAGCCCAGTGAGCCGCCTGCCGGGGGCCAGCCTGGCCGCCAGGGGGCGGCCGGCCGCGACTTCTCCAGAGGACGGTGTCCAGGACAAGGCCCCGTGGGGCGTCCTCCCCCCAGAGCGACCCGGAAAAGGGCTCAGCGGCGGGGCGGGGCCGCACCTTCAGGTCCCGGTACACGACAAAGCGGTTGTGCATGTGCTCCAGGCCCAGGATGATCTCCGCGGCGTAGAAGCGCATGTCCGCCTCGGAGAAGACCCCGTGCTGGGAAAGGTGGTAGTGCAGGTCCCCACCTGGGAGGCAGGCGGTGAGGGCAGCCGCAGTGGGGCCGCCCCGCCCCCGCCCCGCCCGGCCCAGCAGGACATCAACTCACCGTTCATGAGATCCAGGATGAAGCTGAGCTTGTCCGGCGTGTGGAACGCGTAGGACATGCAGACGATGAAGGGGCAGTCCTGGGCGGAGCATGGGCCGGTCAGCGGGGCTGCCCCGGTCCCCGGGCCTGACGCCGCTGCACCCCACCCCGGCCGCAGCTCACCCCGGTGCTGACGAGGGACAGCATGATGCGCTCGTTCAGGGCCAGGGTCTCCCCCTGCTTCATCTTGATGCGCTTCTTGTCCAGGCACTTCATGGCGTACCTGGAGGGGGGGCTGCTCAGAGCGCACCCCCCACCCCGGCCAGTGCCAGCGGGCGGGGTGCAGCCCGCAGGGAGGACCAGCGGCCAGCGGTGCTGGAGAGCCAGGCGCTCCGCAGAGGCTGCCAGTCGGGCTCGCCCTGCCCTGCCGGGGCCCCAGCCCAGGCACGGCCCCACGGCTGTCTCCGGAGGGCGCCCCCCCACGCCCAGCAGCCGCCGGGGCTTACATCTTGCCTGTGTCGGCCTTCCGGCACCCATAGACCTCGCCGAAGCCCCCTCTCCCGATGATGCGGTGCACGCTGAAGTCATTCATGGTCAGCTGCGGGGCGGCCAGTCGGGGTCAGGGCGGGGCCTGGCTCGGCCCAGGGCACAGGCCCTGGGCAGCAGGGGCTGGTACCCAGGCTGGCCCCCGCTGCCCCCCGCCCCGTGAGCCGTCCCACTGAGGCCTGGCCCTGACCCGCAGCCGCCACCCCAGTGGAAGGGCAGCCCCCCGCCCGCCCCCAGGCCCCGCCAGACCCCCCGCGCCCAGCCCACTCACGTGGATGTTGAGCTCCACGTTCTTCCACTGGCAAAAGCGTGTGAATTTATCACTGTAAGAGAAGCAGCCGGGCTCAGGCCCACCAGGGGCCCGGCCTCCTGTCCCTGGGTCCAGCGTGCTGCAGCTGCTGTGCTCAGGGCCTGGACGCGGCTGCGGCCTGCACCCCTCTGGGGACACGGCACCCCTCCGTGGCTGGGCAGCCGCTCCTGCCTGCAACTCCCACCCACCAGGCCAGGTCTGGCCACGAGGGCCTCTCATGCCGGGCCCCACCCGGCAGCCTCAGCCCCGGCGGCCAGCCAGGTGCCGGGAGGAGCACCCAGGCAGCCCTCGCCCCTGGAGAACCGCCGGCGGGCTGAGGCGCCTGGCAGGGTAGGCGGAGTTGGGGGGCGAGCACGGGAGCCGCCGGTCCCTGCAGGACCCCCACCGCACCCGCGCCACGTCTCAGAGCCGCCTCGTGCCCCGCCTCTGCTGCACCCGTCTCACCTCTCAATGAACTTCTGGAACACGTCCCCTCGCAGGTTCTGGCAAATCTCTTCAATGTAGGGCTGCGGGAAGAAGCTGGAGGTTGGTGCCCAGCCCCGGGCGAGCCGGCGGGCTCCTGACCGGGCCGCCGGGCGACCCCGCAGGCTGGGGGGCGCGGGAGCGGCCCGGCACGCACCTGGAAGAGATCCGGGGGCACCTGCTTCTTCACCAGGTGGCCCTGAACGTGCTCAGTGGCGCTTTTCGAAAAGGGCTGGGGAAGACAGGCGGCCGTGAGCCCGCGCCCGCCCCAGCCGGGCCGGGCGCCGCGGGCAGGGCGGCCACTCACGTGCGAGCAGGCCAGCAGCTCCTTCATGATGTAGGTGTCGAAGACCTCCCGGCTGCGCGCCAGCCGCTCCTCCTCCGTCTCCAGCTTCTCGTACTTCCTGATCTAGAGGCGAGACCCCGCGGGTGACCCGGGGCAGCAGGCCGGGTCCCGGGGCGGGCCGGCACGGCGCAGCACCCCTCCGCAGCAGGGCGCGGGCCTCACCTCCTCGTAGAACTCCACCAGCGGCCTGGCCTCCTCCAGGTGCTTCAGGCAGAAGTCTCGGAAGAGCAGGTACCCTGAAAGCAGGGGCCCCAGGTCTTCCCATGGGGAAGGGGGCCGGGCAAGGGGCTTCCCTGGGCTGCCAACTGGGGACTCTCGGATTTGGGGTACGAGTGCCCACGTATCTGCCCTCCCAGAATCTGCTTCTGGTCAGTGGCTAGGAAGTGGCTGGTGGTGGTGAGGCAGGTGTGGGCAGGCCAGGGCCGTGTCCCGCCGCGGTGAGGGTGACACCCCAGCTGGCGGGCTGCGGGGGAGGGAGGTCCAGCAGGCAGGCAGAGCCGCAGCCCAGGGCAGGGGCCAGCCCTGAGAGGGCCCAGGTAAGTCCCTCCACCTGGACCTCATACCCTCCATCATCTGGCTGATGAGGAGACCCAGGCAGCCTGGGAGAGGGGTTCAGCTGGGGAAACTGAGGCTTGGAGAGGCCTGTCAGGCAGGCAGGCATGAGAACAGAGGGCCCCTGCCCTGCTGTGGGTTCTGAGATGGACTGGCCACGGGGAGGGCCAGGGAGGGAGAGGTGAGCCTGGCTGCAGGAAGGGCTCACAGGAGACCCCAGGAAGTGGAGGCCAGAGGCCTTGCCCAGAGCAGCCCACAGGACAAAGCAGGCGGAAGGGCAGCCCCACTTCCTCCTGGGGCCCTGGCTTCCAGGGTGCCAGGCTCTGCTGGTGGCTTCCCACACTGCCCTACTGCCTGGCCGCCTGCTGCGCTCACAGCTCTGACACCATCCCCAGCTGAGGGCCAGCGGGCTCAGAGAGGGGCGGCAATGAGCCCGAGTCACACAGCACAGGCAGGGCCCCGGGCACTGCTCCTGACTGCCCAGTCGAGGGCCTCCCCTCTCAGAGCCCGGACCCAGTTCTGCAGAGGCCTGAAGGTGTCGCTGGAACCTGCCTCCACCCTGCGGCCAGCCAGGTCCAGGGCCCTCCAGGCCCCTCACAAAGAGGCCTGGGGGCTGGTGCAGCCGCTGCGCAGCAGGAAGGGCCCCGCCCCTTCCTGTCAGTCCCACCACTGCGGGCCAAGGGGAAGCTGCAGCTCTCAAAAACAAAAACCCCAAGGAGGAACTTCCCGGGGCTGGAAGACTGCAGCCCGCAGGGCTCCCGTGGGCCCGCCCCTCTGGGTGGGTGGACTTCCTGGTGGCAGGGGCAGGGCGGGGCGGGGCGGGGAGGGGCGGGAGGGCAGCCCCCACTCACCCAGCTTCTGGGAGAAGATCTTCTCAAAGGTCGCCTCGCCACGGTCCTCCAGGTACTTCTGCATAACGCTGCGGATGCTGACAGAGACAGAGGTGCTCGGTGGCCCCAGGCCCTGGCCCACCGGCCAGCCTCGTGGAGGTGGCCCCCTCTCTGGCCCCGGCCTGCCCAGCGCGGCTCTGCCTGGGTCCGGCAGCTTGGGACCCGGCCAAAGCCCGAGCGCCAGGCCGCCACCACCAGCAGACGCCGGGTGACCGGCCGGGGACCCATCCTGTCAGGATGGGGGGTCAGGACCCCAGCCCTGCCCGAAAAAGCTCCGGGCCCTGCCACACGCGGGCACTACAGCGCCCGGCCACCGACGTCAAGCGTCTGGAGACGTGGGCGCCCAGGGACGGGGCCTGGGGTGGACCGAGGTGTCTTTTGGGGGTGATAGGAATATTCTGGACTTAGAGTGAAGGTTGCACAAGAGAGAATTTCCTGAAAACCAATGAACTGCACACTTTACGGGTGAGCTGTGTCATGTGAATTACATCCGCTTCAAAAGACAGTAAAAAGCTCCCCCAGCCCCGCCCCTAACCTGGACTCACACACACCAGGCCCCTGGGTTGCTTGGGAGGGCCGCAGGGGCTGGGCTCTGTGACCTCAGGCCAGACCCCAGCTCCCCATGAGCGCAGCCCCCCACTGAGGGCCACCGGCCCGGGAGCAGCCCCCAGTCCCACCCGGGCCTAGTGCACCTGCCACCCCCACTCAAACGGGCCCCTTCGGTCAGCCCTGCTGGCCGGGCCGCCGGCTGGCCATGGTCACGCCTGGACTCCCGAGGGGTGCTCCGAGCTGCCCCCCTGAGGGCCATGCCGGGCAAACACACCTGAGCCTGGGAGAGGCTCACACCCTCTTAGGATCTGGGGTCAGCAGGAGGCTGCGGCCTGCGAGAACCCGGCGGGGTGGGCTGGAGCCGGCCACTATTGCGACCCTGCGGCCAAGACCTCCCGGGCACAGCTTCTGTGACCCGAGGGCCTGACAGTCTGAGGAGGACACAGCTCAGGGGATGGGAAGGGAGGAGAGTTCTGGGTATTTGGGGAGGCTGTGAAGAGAAGGGGGACCCCCCTCCCCGTGGGGTTTCTCAGTGCAAACAGGATGCTGCAAGGTGCGAAGCCCAGCACCAGTGTGGCAGGGCCAGGCGAGGGTGAGCAACAGGCCGTGAGGCCAGGCAGGACTCCGCCAGGAGGTGGGGCAGACCGCTGGGCAGCTCCACGGGGTCACCCAGCGGCTGGCACCCCGGGCCAGGAAAGTGGCGGGAGGAGGCTCAGGCCTAAGACGGGCGGCGAGCTTCTGCTGGGGAAGCTGCCCTGGCCGCAGGCCTCTGGGCTACGGGCTGGAGGGCTGTGTGAGGCCCAGGACCTGGCCTCGAGGCCAGGCCTCCTGTCCTGTCCCTCAGCACATTCCAAGCCAGGCCCAGCCCAGGTTCGAACCACCGAAGGGGAGGCCACGCAGACACCAGTGACATGGCCATTGGGATACCCCTACCGCCGTGCCTGGGAGACTGGGGGGGGGGGGGGGCGTCCTGACCATCTCTGAAAGCCGTCTCCAAGAGGAAGAAGGGGCCGGTGGCCAGGACAGCCCTCCTGACCCCACCCGTGGCTCCAGTCAGGGCAATGGCTGCCTGCTGGCCAGGCTTCTGATCCACACAGGCTCCCTCTGAGGAGGACCCCCCCAAACTGGCAGGGGCGCCAAGGCCTGGATGAAGCCTCACGCTGCCACACTGTCCAGGGGCCACACACCAGCTCGGGACCGTCGGCCACCATCGAGGGCATGGCACACGCCAAGGGATTCCTCCCCCGGAGCAACGGGGAAACGTGACAGACACAGCCCATGCCTGGGGCCCGCACAGGCTGGAGCCCCAGGAGGCTGCGGGGTGTCCGCAATGGAGCTCCCGAGGCCCCCAGTTCTGCGAGGAACCCACTTGACAGGCCAGGTGGAGGGCACCAGAGTGTGGCACTTCCCTGCGCCCATATCCCCAGCCCTCAGGGAGTTTCTGGCCTATGGGCAGAGCCCAGGGGAAGCAATGGAGAAGGGGTGGTGACCCCGCAAGCGATGGTCAGGTGTGGCGAGGGTGCACAGGCGAATGCATGCGGCAGGCCTGGGAGCTCCAGTCCCTTGGGCGGCCACGGCAGGCAGCGGGCATAGCAAGGGGCCCCAGGAAACCCCTGTGGGTGCCACATTTGCTTCCCGGGAACTGGCAAGACCAGCATCAGCTTAGCAAAGGTGATACCCACGAAGAGCTGCCCCCCACGGGCCCCCAGGCCAGCCTGCATGCCCCGCTCCTGCCGGGGCCTGAGGTTGGCCCTGCCAGAATGGGGGCCCCGGGCAGGCCTTCCCCGGCAGGGCGCTGCCCAGCTGCTCAAGGAGCAGAAGGGGGCAGAAGGGGAGCGCGTGGTTGGGGTGCAGTGGGGCAGCAGGCAGGCAGGGGGCGGGGCGAGGGGAGAACTTCCGGAACTTTCTGGCACTATGTGGCTCAGAGGAGAGGCTCGTTCGGCGGGTATGGGGCCTGGGAGGTTGGTCTGAGCTCCACAGGGGACTCCCCCCATGATGGGGCCCCTGGGGCCCGGGGCAATGCTGGTCTTTTGGGGGGGGGAACCGAGGCTGGAAGAGCTGAGCAGCCCGCCAGCGTGCCACAGCGAGTCAGTGGCAAGGAAATGCCCCCTCCCTGAGAGCAGGGCGAGGTCTGGGGCAAGCTGGAGGAAGGGGCCTCATGGGGCCCCCCGTGGGCCTGGCTCCCCCCTTTGCCACACACAGGCAGCAGGCAGCAGCCCCCAGGGCTGGCGTGCGGGGCTGGGAGCCCCTCCCGGTGTGAGGGAGCCCCCCGGCACGGGCCGCCGCCACGCAGTCAACAGGCAGCAGAGTGGAGGCTGGGTCGCGGCTGTGCCGCTCCTCTGTGGCATTTCCAGGAAGCCTGGCACCAAGGTGGCAGCTGCAGGAGGAAGTCCCTGGCCGGGTAACGCTTCTCAACGACTCGCCCTGGGGCTGCGCATCCTGGGGCTGCGCCGGAGCCATGGGCGCCCCACCTGGCCTGGCACAGGGCACCCCTTGAGCGTCTTCTTCCCCTGAAGGGGCTCCTGTGCTCCTTTCAAGGGTGCTCGGGAAGAGGCGCTCTGGAGGGTTTGCTCCCCAACCCACACCCGCACCCGGCCCTGCATGCGCCACCACTGCCACTGCGTGAGAACACGCCGGAACAAACAACACTCCCAGGGGCGTCTGGCCTGCACCCCAAGGTGGACAGGGCCGCTACTGCTGAATGCACACTTGCAGCCGAACCCGCCAGCCCCGCCTCCCGCAGCCTGCCAGACAGAGCAGCTCCCCAAGGCCTCCCCTCACTCCAGAGCCTCCGGCAAGAAACAGCGACACCCCGGGGGTGCGCCAGGAGCTGGGCGCCAGCTATTCGTGGGAGGTGCAGCAGCCCCTCGGGAGCAGACAGGCGCCCAGGGCGGGGTGCAGCTGCCTGCACCTCCCTTCACACCGGGAGTTTACTACGAGCTCGCAAGCTTGCGCTTGGCGCCGCGCTAATGGGGCGCGCTCTTCCCGGCCGGCTCCCCCGCGGGATCTACCCGCTCCCCGATCCCCTGGGGATCGGGCAACATCTGGGCAAGGCGCAGCCCCACTCGCAGACGGCCCCCCGGGGCGAGGTCATCGCGGCCCCCCGGAAGTCCCGGCGGGGTGGCGGGGTGCCACGACTGGAAGCTGGGCCGAGGGGTGACTGCCCGGGGCCCCTGCCCCCCCCCCCAGCGTGGGCAGGAAGTCCTGGGCACAAAGAGTTAACAGGAATGAAGAAGCAGCAGAGGAAGAGCGGGCTGGAGACAGGGAAGCCGCGGCAGGAAGGAGGAAATCCACCGTGGGGGAGGGGCGGGGCTGCGAGAGGCCCGCGGGGCGCCGGCCGCCTGGGACTGCGGGGTGGGGCCCCAGCGGGAGCCCGAGATTAATTACACGCGGCCTCCGCGGTCATATTAAGCAAAGGAGGGTAATTACAGGGCCAGGGCGCTGCTGGCAGGGCCCAGAGCGCAGGGGCCTGGGCCTGGGCCTGGAGCTGAGGGTGCAGGCTGCGTCCCCCAAGCTCTACCCGCAGGGAGGCTGGGCAGGGCCGGCAGGGCCGGGGGTCAGGGCCAGCTCTGCTCTGAGTCGCAGGCCGCCGCTGGCCGGCAAGGTCAAGGAGGGGTCTGTTTCCTGGACTCTACAGAGGCACAGAAGGGGGCCTGTGCCAAGTCCGAGGCGCCGCCAGCTCCCGCCCCAGCCCCTGCCAGCAGAGCCCGGGCCGGGTACTTGCTACAGGGCCGCGTGAGAACTCCGAATCTCACCTGGCAGGGACAAACCTGGCTCCTTCTCCCCGACCTGAGGGGCTCAGGCCCTGGCAGGGCGCTGCCCGCTCTGTGCACCAGCCGGACGAGGGCAGCCCAGGTCCCGGCCCCTGCGGGCAGGGCGCTGACTGCCCGCTGCGAGGCCCCTGGTGTATTCCGCGCCACGTGGACGGGCGGCCGCGGTGCGAGGGGACGCGTGCGGGCGGCACGCGGGGAGGGCCCCAGGGGCCGGGCCGAGGCCACGTCCACGCTGCAGCTCGGCTGCCCAGGCCAGATGGGGAGAAGGCGGCCTGCTGTGTCGCTTCCCGCACTTGGAAAAAGGCTCTGACGGAACCGAGCACCGGCAGGGCCCTGCCTGGTGGCGAAGCGAGTGCCCAGCGCAGCACTGCGAAGCCGCCAGCCGCAAGTGCGACCCGGCCAGCGAGGGGCCCCAGGGCCCAGCAGACCTCCTGTCTCCCCGCTGCCCCCTCAGCAGTGCTCCTCGCCCATCTGCCCATTCTCCCCAGTCTGTCTCTGGTGACCCCTCTCACCCTTGCACCTCTGGCCTGTACCCCAGTTCTGTATGAGAAATAGATAAATAAAAGCACTTTGCAAGGTGCCCAGGCATGGAGGCCACTGCGGTGCCTCAGCGCGGGGAGTCTGTGGCCAGCGCAGCAAGGCCTCAGGCTGGCAGGCTCGTCACCCCGCACCACCTTGTGCCCGCGCCACCTCAGCACGCCCCTCAGCTCGCCGCCAGCCGGTGACCCCACGGGGGAG